CGAGATCATTTAGTCGTTATCTATAAGTACATATAAAACCATCATTACAGGGATTGTAGTTGAACAAGCTCACACATCACCAGTTAATTCAACCAGTTACACAAACTCCTGCATTCATTTAGTTTTTTAAAATCTAATTTAGCGTAAAGCATTTATAAAACAAATGCAGAAATAGTCGTACCCATAAACATATATATCAGTCGTTCATTGACATCGTGATCTCAAATTAATTTAATTTAGTATCTCAGGAAAACAAAGGTTCGTTACGAGATGATTAGTAAATTTATTGTTATCACGAGATAACAACTCAAATTCATGGAATCATATAATGTAAGATTCCATGACTGTTCAGGGCTTCAGTAGTTATGGATATTTACAGTTATGAATATTTACTGAATATTAGCGTGTTATTATAAAGTGTAAACGCGGCTTGTGATTGGACAGTGAATCATTTGAAATGTGTTTGTTTACTGTGAAACACTTTAGTGATTCGCTGTCTGACCTCTTTCATCTGCAGCCCGTAGATAATGGCGTTCAGGGCGGGCAGAGCCACTTCGCCCACTATGGCCGCCACCTTCCTGTGGTCGGACAGCTGGGGGAAACGGTGCAGGATGACGATGATGAAGGCCGACACCAGCAGGAGGACGTACACGGTCAGGTGGGAGGTGCAGGTCTGCAGCGCTCTGTTGTTCAGCACCTTGTTTTTGCTGTGCACGCACACGGCGGCGATCTTCAGGTAGGTGAGCGTGACGCTGCAGATGGACGAGCCCAGCAGGACCACAGTGTAGCCGAGGCCGTACACCTGGTTGATGAAGACGCTCTCACACGACAGTTTGAACAGGGAGGCGTTGTCACAGAACAGGTTGGATATAACCTGCCGGCAGCGCGACAGGCGGACGGTGAGGCCCAGGAGGATGGCCACCAATACCAACGCTGTCCCCCACGCTGCTACCGACAGCTTCACCACCATATTGGTGGTCATGATGGTGACGTAACGCAGGGGGTTGCAGATGGCCACGTAGCGGTCGAAGGCCATGACCATGAGCACGGTGTGGGAGGTGCTACCGTACAGGTGGACGCAGAACGCCTGAACCACGCAGTCCACATAGTGAATATAGCGCTCGGAGTTTGACATGAAAATATCTCGGAGAACATGAGGGATGATGATCGTGGCTCCGAACGCGTCGTTGATGCTCATGTTGCAGAAGAGCAGGTACATGGGCTGGTGGAGGCTCCGCTCCGTGGAGATCAGCAGCACCAGGCCCACGTTAGACACCATGATGAAGACGTAGATGAGGAGGAGCAGGACRAAGGCAGGAACAGAGGAGGCAGGGCTGACCTTTAACCCCTCCAGGAGCAGCACGTTGGGACGGAAACTCTGGTTTTCCATCTGTCACTGTGAACAAGTGACGACAGCAATGAACACAACATCTGGATGTTCAGTCAAATATGGAACATACGTCTGTACAAACACTCAGTCACTGTAGCTCAAGTTTCAGGAATGTGTTCGTTAGTTTTTAGTTTTCTACATTTTAACACAAAATTCTGAACTTTCTACTTTTGACATTTTCAATCTGACTGAATGGTTTTAAAACATTGAAGGGAAATGATCTGTTTTTTGACTTCGCATCATCGAGACACATTTCACCTCATTCACAGAGGAAGATTCAAGCTGCAGCTCAGAGACGACTGAGGATCGATGAAAAGAACAAACACAAAGTACAGTTCAAAAGAGTTTTCAACCAAAATCAAAGAGAAAATCAGATTAAAGAGCTAAAATAAGGATTCGAACAATAGAATAATAAAAAAAACTATGATGGTACAACCTTGTAAAATAGTAAAAACAGAAAAGACGAGTGGTTGTTGTGTGTCAGTTTAACACAACTGACGTAACAAGGTCAAGACTCGACGGTGGAGAAGAGACAAGATGGAAGAAAGAGAAGAA